ACATCTTCATGTAGTGGTTGGCCCATATGCACAGAATGTGGTCTCCACAATGTGTCTGCAACATTGAGTTGTGTCGGACCATTCCACATAATAATAACACCAATAAAAACACATGCAGACACACATCTTTTATTTATGAATTCAGGGTTATGTATTTGCTATGCTATGCAGGCTCCTTATTCTTCATTCTTGTCATGCTTTCTCTGAAGCCCCCCAACTGAATATCGGATAATTATTCCACAACTTGAAAATGCAGCATTTATGATTCAGTTGTCTCGTTCTTGCCCATATGCATTCATAATAAACAAAACAAGAAAATTTTAATAGAAAAGATCATTACCTTTGTCTTCTCTTACACGTCATAAAGCCTCAGCCTAATTTAGACGGCCAGAAAAGATGATGATTATGACGACCATCAAGATTGCTAGGTTTGATAAAGCTAAGAGCTTGGTGGGAGAAATGTGATTAGCTTAATACTAACCTAGCTGTTCTTAGGGTGCAGAGGATTGGTCTATTTGTACAAAACTATAGGGAAAAAGGCGCTCAACATATCACAAGGTTTCTTACCATGTAAATCGAACTTAACTTTATCATCCTCCAATTTTCTGTTACCATTCTTGCATCCTCTGTTCTTGTTCAATTTTAACTCTGATTCCTATGTGCTTTTCTTTCATATTTGTTTCTTAATTTCATTGATATTAATTATTATTAGCTACTAGAGCAAAATTTCAAATATTTGTCTTTGTTAATTGATCGTATCTGTCTGGATACTCTACCCTCATCATGGGGCCCAAAATTAGATGCCCACGCTGCTTAATGATCTCAAAAGGATAAACTAAATTGTCGTTAATATAATAAGTTGAGTTGCTTCAAATTGATTTTCGGAGTCACAAAATATTCAAAGGAGCAAATTAAGTTGGGTTAGGTTTAGTTGGTTTTAAGTTCTTATCTAACTACTCAATTTGCCTCGATCATTAATTGCCCTAGGAATGTTGAAGCCCATTAATACTCATTCTAACCCTCAACTATGGCACATGATCGAATATAGAACCTCCCAAACTAACTTTAGAGCCAGCATTCAATCACTAACCCCCTTGGGAAAAGAAAAGGCCTAGCAATATAATATTAATCCTAAGTGTCAGTTGGGGCAAGTTGCTGGAGAGTGAACCTCCCAAACTAACAATGCAAAAGAAGGATTTGAACAAAATCGTGAGGAAGTAACGTAAGAATATTATTGCATTCAATGAGAGCTTATCCTTTATCATCACAACTCCCAAAGAAAATATGGAGATGCTTCAGCTCCCCACTTTTTTCTATTAAATACAAACCTTAGTCAAGTGTCCTATGATAATTAGGAAGATTGGGCTAGGCACTCTGAACCATAAGTATCTAAATTTATCCCTTGCCCTTTCCTTGACATGGTCAGAAGTTTCAAGTAACCATTTTCCTCTTCAAGTTTGTATGCATATTCACTTGAAAGGAAGTTCTATCTCAAGTGGAATGATGGAGGGGAAAAAAAGCCCACACCTCATATTGAACCATTCGCTTTATTATTTATCACAGATGTGATAAACTTTTGTCCTTGTGTATGGCTCTCCTTTCTACTTCGTTATCACCTTATTGCTACTATGGGGCCACAAAATCCTTATATATATATATATATATATATATCTAATTTAGTAACCTTCATCTTTTGACGCCAACTATTCTCTAACCCTCTTCCGCATTCGCATTTTGATCACTCTCTTCTTTCCTATGGCTTCTATGTTTTCCATTCTTGTATTTTCTCTCATGGTTGCTTCAAGCATTGCTCAGCATCCACCTTCACCTATCTACTTCCCAAGTTCCAAAATAAGTCCTATGAGCTTTGATTAAGGCTTTAGAAACCTACGGGGAGCTCGGCATCATAAAGTAGAACATGGCTTGTTAACAATCTAGCTTGACTCCTCTTTAGGTGAGCACATTTTTCTTACATGACCTCCCAAATTCACTTTTTTCTTGCACACACTTTGACATCACTTAACGTTGGGAGTGGATTCAAGTCGTTGCACTCATATCAATTAGGATACTTTGGTGTTGCAATTAAGCTTCAACCTAGTTACACTGCAGGAGTCATCACATCATTATATGTGAGAATTATGATCCCGTGGCTATACTTAAAATTTGAGAAGAGATTTTTTTTTCTATTTGAGAAGAGATTTTTTTTTAAAGCAGTTCTTCACCCTATTGTTCTGTCATTTGGGATTTTTAGCTTTCAAACAATCAAGACCACCGAGGAGACCATGATGAAATTGACATTGAGTTCTTGGGTAATATGCCAGATAAGCCATATGTCTTGCAGACAAATGTATACATCAGAGGTAGAGGAGATAGAAATCTTATAGGCAGAGAGATGAAGTTCCATCTTTGGTTCGACTCGACATATGATTTTCACAACTATGCTGTTTTATGGAAAGCCAGTGAAATAATGTAAGTATTTCCATGCACTAACACACTCCTAGCTTCATGAATTTAAACACATCAAATTATATCACATTAATGTTTATGTTAACTATGGCTTGGTTCAATGCATGTTGAACTACTTTGTGGTCTTAGTTTGCTCACTCCTGGACATGAAAAGTGTGGTCCCCTGGGTCTTTCAGAAATCTGATTGACTTTGTAAGACATTTTGTACTAAAATGGGTGACTAGTGAGATAAATAATTCATATCAAATTTATGGAAAGATGACTAGGGAGCTTTTTCTTTCCTAATGTGGTCTGGAAGATGGCTACTACGTGCTCACTATGAGTTTGTTCCAAAATATATGCAGATTCCTGGTGGATGATGTGCCGATAAGGAGGTACCCTGGGAAGAGCGAGGCAACATATCTTACAAGACCAATGTATGTGTACGGATCCATATGGGATGCGTTATCTTGGGCTGCAAAGGATGGAAGATACAAAGCAGATTATAGGCACCAACCCTTCATCGGTCAGTACAAAATGTTCAAACTTGAGGGTTGCACTGCTGAAGCCCCAACGTCATGCCGACCACCCTCTGTCTTGCCCTCTGGCCATGCCAGTCTTAGCCCTCAGCAGCTTAAGGCCATGCAGTGGGTCCATAACAACTACTTGGTTTATAACTATTGCCATGACTCCAAGAGAGACCACACCCTCACTCCTGCGTGGTAGGCTTTGGATTTATGTCTCTCTTTTACCAGTTAATTTGTCTGTTAAGCCAAAAGCCCAGACGTTCAAGAATGTAAGATTCAAGAATCAAGCAAAGTGTAGATGTATCTATTGAAAAAACAAGTAGGCCTCCTCCTTATTTTCTAGAGTTATCTTGTGGGGGGTGGTTTTTAAGATGTCCGACTCGATCCCTAGAGTGCAATTGTGAGAGCAGTTAAGTATCCAATCCTCCCCACAAAGTTGTGATGTATGTGTATGTGTTGTGTAATGTTGAGTTGGAATAATGCTTTTGGTAGTATTCCCATTGAAATGAACTTATTTAAATGTGTTAGGTTGTCCGGTTGGATAGAAGGAATTTTTGTTGGTAACTTAAGATGGACTACCAAAATAGTTATTGCTCAATCAGTAATATCATAAAAATAGTTAAATATTGCTCTTGTTAGTAAATGGACCACGACTTCATTGTATGTAATGTAATTACGAGCTTAACAATAACATACACACTCATACTAGACAATTTAGTCTTCTCAGAAGCAAAACTAAGAAAGAATTTAATTTATACCCTTACTGCCTAACAAGTATATGAATAATGTTGAATAAAAATAAAGAAAAAACTCATTCATATTATATAGGAAAATGATAAAAGATTAGATTAATTTATTAAATCTGAAAGTGATGAAAGATTAGAGAGTTCATGAGAGAAATGTGAAAAACAAGAGTTTGAAAATGAAATAAGTAGAACAAAACACATCAAGATAACTGTTACATGATAAGTTATTTGTTTATATAGGGGAGACCACTAATGATATTCCTGAGATTCATGCTCTGTGTGGTTAATTTTACATTTGATTTGAGAGCATAGTGAGGAGGGAGCATTAGCTTCGGTCCTGGTAGGTCAGGGTCAAACAAACATTGGGCCAAGAATAAAAGAAGTGAGAATGTTGGACCGCTCGGCCCATGAGGGTTAAACCCATCACTCTTCTGCCTCATAGTTTAGTTTAGTTAGACTCAGCAGTCCAATCACAAACCAAAAAATGCCTCCAAATTATTACAGTTGCGTGCCTGAGTCGTTTTTGGCATTCATATTTGCGCCATCACTCTTTGAAATACAACTTTTGGAATTTGTTTACAAAAATGAATTACTTGAGAATTTTCATTTTAATTAATATTTTAAAATTTTAAAATTAACTTAAACCTAACATAAACTTGTAATTAAGAATGAGGGAGTGCTGGTTAAAAAAAAAAAAAAAAAGAATGAGGGAGGCGTATTATCCTGTTGGAGGCTTTCGTAGGCATAATTCTGCCCACCACCTTTCTCTTATTCTCTTGGCTTCTGACACCACGTTCCCCTCCCATTTTTCACTCCTGCCACCCTGACACTATCCCCCTTCCCTCATCATTCATTGATTTCATTCTCCCATCAAATACAACCAGAATATTAGTTATTCTTAAATATAAAATCCATTTTGTAATGTAAATTACACTATAAAATAGGTATTATACTCCTCCGGTCCTCAATATAAGATTTAATTGTTGAGTTAGTTTTGGTCCTAAATATAAGACCAATTTCTCATATTTATCAGTGTTCTCTAAATTATCCATATAGATACTCCCTCAATCATAATCAAGTAGAAGAGAAAGAAGGGTATTAAAAAAGATGATTATGGTATTTTAAGAAAAACGTGTCACATTTCTTATAATTAACTAATTTACCTAGCCTCCTTAATCTAATCAAATTAGTTAAATAGGTCTTATATTAAGGATTGGAGGAGTATTTAGGACCGAAGGGAATGTATAAATAACTTGCTTCAATAATTTATTTAATCCAACAATTATAATAGCATCTCAAAGTTTGACTTTATTACTATTATTATTAGTAATACAGCGAAGGAAAAAAATAGAAAGAATGCTGTGGTCCTTTGGTATTTACAGAGAAATGGATTTGCGACAGGAAACATCGAAATGTTTGGACTCATATTGAGGATTCTAAAAGTAGTCCAGTTGGGCGAACCGTTATCCAATGACTGCCGGCCACGTCATGAGAAGCCCATCCCCGTCACCATGAACATGGCCCGAAGGTATGAAAAACCAACCCAGCGTAGGTTATAGTAATCTACTACTGTGGGTCCCACCGCCAGCTAACTACCATATTCCATACCCTCCCTCCATCCCATTCAAATCCCACCTGTCTTCCATTATTCTATTCATTGGATATTTTAATTCCTTATTGCTTCATCAACCACTATTCAGCCGTGGGCTTAAACTGCAGAGACGGCTCGCATATCCAGGCTGGCACCGCCCTCTTACTCTAATATTTCCGAATTCCCCCGTCCCCTCATGATTCGCGCGTTCGCTCCATCATTTTCATTTGTCTTCCTATATTCCGACCCCTCACGTGTCAGCACCCCACTGGTTTTTAACTCTCCTGTAACTCTTGTGCAGCTTCTGACTCAACGCCTCCAGCACTTGCCACGTGGCGTCTCCTTCTTCCACCTCATCGTTGAAAAGTAAGGCCTTCCTCCTCCCTGCCTTCCACAGGTTCCTCTGTATGCTGCTCAGGTTCGTCGCCGCCACCTCCTCCAGGATCCTTCCCACCTTCCCCACATCCTTCTCCGCCACCCTCACCGATATCTCCTCCCATTTCACCGCCCTCGGGAACGGCAACCGGATGCCGTCCGCTATTATCACCGGCACGCACCCCAGCTCCACCGATTCCACCAGCCTCGGACTCCACGGCGCCCATCCCAGCGGGCACAGACAGAAAACCGAACGAGCGATTTCCAATTGATAACCCTCGAACCTCTGCCTCTGCAGGTAAAACCTCCTATCACCGTTGAATTTCCGCCATATCTCCGTCCGTACTTTCCTTCACAAAACAACAACAGAGTATGACGTGCTGTTAAAGTCAACGAATAACGATGCGAGGGTAATAAGGTAAATCGACGATAAAATGAAACCCGAGATAATCCGGCAACGACAAACAAATAGCTGCCTTAGAAGGATTAAAAACTTGTCAAAAAACTTGAGGAGATGGAATTAATTTATTACTTGCTGTAATATCGTCCGCTGACATTCTTAGGATAGAGCTCCATTTTGCCCCTGAAGAACACCCAAATGTCTCGCCGCCGGTTCCCCGGTTCTTTCTCCAACGTATTCCTCAGACTCTGCGGCGACACGTACGGGGGAATCACTACATTATCAACGTCCTGACATGGGTGCTTGTACTCAACACCAAAGGTCTGCAAAATGATCGACCTCTTCAAGAACTCTGGTACCCCGTCTGCAATTGCGACGTCCTCCTTCATAACCAAAAACAAAAACAGAACAAAACAAACAAAATTTTAATGCCTGAAACGTTGATATCAAGTTTTTGCGCCATTCATCCACTATGCTTAACGCACCAAGGTGTGGAAACAAGAGCCGAAGTCGTGGGAAGCGACAAAGACGTGGTCCGATCCTTGGGTCCGGTTCCAGAAGGGGTATTGAGAGGAGATGAGTTGGATGGCGGAGGAGATGAGGGAGCGCGCGTGCCCAATCGCCGGAAACCCATTAACGGTGCTGAAGTTGCATGACACGTAGACGGGAACGAAGAAGAAGTCAGCTTCGTAGGGGTCAAACGTCCGAACCTCGCTCGTCAACAACGCTCTGTGAATGGCTACCTCGGACGCAAACAAATGATTGCTGCACCTCTTGTTTGAGAGCCAGTCGGAGTTGTATCTCGGAGGCAAATCGTAGACGAATATCTTCAAATCTTTTAGAACCGCTGCAAACATAGAAGGATACAAAACAGAGCGGATAAACTATCAAAACAAGTGTGAGAAGTAACGAAAAATGATGGTTTCAAATCAAGGGATCGATAAAGTACCTGACGGGTTTAGAGCTGTGATGTTGATGGATTCGATAAGAGGGCTAGACGGAAGGGTGGATTGAGATTTGTGGGTAGAGTCAGAGTCGGTGGGGGGATTATTATTGGTGATGAAACAGGACGAGAAGAAATAGAGAGATAAGGAGAGCCAGAGAAACCATTTGTAATATCTGAAGAAGCAGCTTTTTTCGGGAGGAGGTCTGGTATGTTTATGGAGGAGCTTCATCTTAAGATAGAAACCCCTGTTCTTGGGGGAGTCTTTGGTGCTCCGCCATTTCATTTAAAAATGGAAGAATAAAAGCACCAGGAAGATGGTGATGAGAGGCTGAGCCTGAGAGGTGGAGGAGGAGCGGTTGGGTAGAGATTTTCGGTTTCTGGTGTGGGAAGAAGTAAGAACCAAGAAACAGTGACAGGGAAGGATCTGAGTCTGTTCAAACTTGAATTTTTGGCCCTAGAGAAGAATACCATAGGCGTGGAGAACAGAATTGCTATTACAAGTCGTTTATTTTCTTACAGTGGTGCAAATATACTGAGAATAATCAATACGTACGTTCAAACCAAAATCCATCCTTATGCAGTTAATTTTTTTTTCCCCTTCCCTTTCTGATTAGCCGCAAGATATCATAGACCGCGTTAGAACTTGCTGCTTTGTCTTTTTGCCCCTACAACAAGCTACTCCGAATAATTAGTACCCGCCAACGAACATTCTTATTACAATTTTTTTTTTAACGGCATCAGGTTGGTTAGGTTCAAACTCTTCCCTAATGGCAACGTTGAAATTTAAACCGACGTCTCAAGAAAAATAATATCTTTTTCAAGCAGAAGTAGTAAAGAGGAGGCGAGGGAGAGCCGTAGAGAGAAAGATTCAGAGATAACACAATCATAGATGACTTCACTTGTGGGTGTGAAGTTTTATAGAGTATTTGGAGATGTGAAGAACGTGAATAAGGAAAAATAGTTGCTTGCTTGATTGAATATATGGCTTGACGTGGAATTAAAGAATTTAAACGGGAATGAAATTATGGAGGATGAAAGATAAAGTGGCATAAAAACAAGGTGTTAATCAAAGTAACATCATGGCCAACATCTATCTACGTCCGTGTGAAGATTCAGGAGTCTAGTGGAACAAATGCATGGATGACAGCTAGCCTCTGAGCTCAGATTATCTGGTTTCATTTGAAAATCGTCCATCTTAATTCCTTTTTTATTATTATTATTCGATCCCGCATGTAGCTCCATTAATTCCATGGCCAACACAAACAAACACAGACAGACAGATGTTCATGATGGTGGCTCTTTTTAAATCTAATAAACTTTTTTTATTGGTTTCTAAAATATGTGAAATAACAGTCTTGCACTTCTCTAAAAACAAACTTTTGGAATGTCCCATTTTGTGCTCCGAAATTGGACTTGAATATATTCACTAGGCTGCATATATATTAGCGGAAAGACGAGAAAGGCTTTGACAACTTGGTCGCTGTTACTGAGAAAGTGAGGATAACAATTTTAGAAAGAAAAAGTAAACCACAAGTTGTTGGACACCTCTTCGCCTTCTGCTTCTATAAGCACATAACTTTGCATGAATTTCATCCCTAAAATGGCTGCTCTGCCCTCCGGAAAAAAAAAAAAAAAAGGATCCATCTAAACAAATCTCCTGCTCTCTTTCTTCTTATTTTCCAAATAAAATCTTATACATCACATGACAAGATCTTGTTCTTGACTGAGATGTAATATCAAGCCTGTTTTTTTTTTTTTCCTCCCACCAGGCAATGTCAATCTTATTGACTGAACAATTTTTATTCCGGAGTTAGCCAGTTATATTAAATGAAAAAAAGTGTCAAGTTGGAGGAGTACTTTATTATTTCAGCCAGACAGAATCAATTGGTATTTAGTGCAAAAGCTTTACCTATAGTAACAAACTGAGATATATTTAAGTCGCATCTTTCTATGTTAATGTTACGCAAATGTCAATATCTGTGGTGTTTTACATGAAGCACCCACACAAAAAAATTATTGCAAAATTGCTTTCTTTATCACAAACCATAAAAATATCAATTAACGCGGATAACCGAAAACATAATCAAAATAATTTGTCAACCTTTCACATCACAGACAAGTGGTGGGTCAATTTTCGTCCTCTTATTTATTGATCCGTTCAATTAGATACAACCCTATACCATCATTTCAATTACACATTCTTATCGCTTGACCCGTTCAATTTTAAAGTATGACGTTGATTTTATCTACTACATACATGAACACCCAAGACCAGTTTTCGGCAGGCTAGTTCAACTTTTATCCGATAAACTAGTCGCAACTTACACATTTATAATTGGAGAATAACTATTTAACCACGAGCGTGCATCTATTTACTTGGGAATTATCTTGAATTGGAGGTTATTCTAATTTCTACCTTTGACAGGTAAGTAGCTTTTGAAGGCAGAGACGTTAAACGAAAGATTCACTGGCCCATAATGGACGGTGATGATAGCTCCTTATTATTGATTAGTATATGGAGAAAGCAGAGAGTAGAAAATCGTAAAGTATGTGAAGTGGTATATCTTATAATTAACAAGTCTCGTACACGGCAAGGTCTAAAATTCCTGCTTCATCTACATACATATGTAAGAAGCAGAAGAGTTCAAATTATAAAAGTCTGGATGAATAAATCAAGGCCATGAGATTAGAAGTACTATCATATGAAATTGACACATATATTTTATTCGCCGACCACCTTGGAACATAGGCGCAGGCTCCACAAGTGGCTAAGAATTTGTATGTTGAGGCCACAAAGTTGATGAGTTTATATGTGTTGGAGCCGGGAAAAATAGTGTGGCCAGATATTTGGGCAGATAAGCATTCAGGTTACGTACGTACCAATAGGCAGATTACTTAATGGAGCAGTAACTGGTTATGTGAGAATGCTTATCTCCTACGTTGCCATCATCAATAGACATGTAATGTAATTGCAGAGGTGGCAACTGTCGTCGCAGATAATTATATGAGCCATTAGGTATTTTTGTGTGTCCCACATAATTAATTAAGGGGGAATGAGGTGCTGTCTCTTTGCCTTATTCACGAAGCATTTAAAAAGGAAGCTAAAGCCAATGCCAGGTCATCAATTGGCTTAATGGAAGTGGGTAAATTAAAAGGGCATATCATTTTCATTCATTATTAACTGGTGATTGCTACTACTCCTGCTAGGTAGCCAGGTGGGGAGGGGGATGCTTGAAGCCAGGGGTTCTGGTGAGATGACGCTTTCCTACTTCAGTGGTCACGCAGAGCAAATACATGATGATATGAGGCTTAAGTTAGGTCCATAACTCTGCAGATTTTATCTTCTTTCGGCTATTATGCTTAAGCTGAAATCTAAAAATTCACGAGGAACCAAGAAACCTGAGCTGTTGGTTCCTGCCCCACCTAACTATATTGATTCATTAGTGGCTCGTAGATATGAGTCTGTCCCTCCCCAGACTTTTAGTGAGATACATTGATTCACGTGCAAAATAAACATGGCATAAGATTAACCCCGCAATTAGTCTGCATGTTACAAAGATTGCGTATTTTAGAGGGCAGGGCCTGATTAATTAAGGGTGAAGGTTGGGTTTTTCTGAGATAATTGACCACCAAATGATGACATGCATATGCTTGCACGAATTCAACCCGTGAGCAGAATCATGTCATAGGCTATTGTTGTCTAGCGTGCAGAATTGAGAATTGGGACTTGGGACTCGAAATGGATATAATAAATGAGAAGCATGACTGAAAATAATTAGAAATAAACGTCACCTCCGGAAAATAAAAGCAAAAGGAACTCCGATCGGTCCCCTGGCTAGCGGTGTCTTCCATAAACTTCAACGATGACATTATGATCATTTAACTATTTCTGCACCTATAACAATCAATATAGTAACTTATAAGAAATATGGTCACAAATAGTTTAATCTACTTGTGAGATTGAGCTACACTTGGCCCACATCTAATTTAGATCTACGTCTGACTGTATATTTATAAATGTTGTAAAACGCCACTTCGCTATTGTATAATACATTGAGTCGAGATATTTGGCTTGTATTGGACTGTGTATTTTGTCCTTTTATTCCATCTTTTTATGCCTTATTTGTTAATTTTTTTTTAATTTAACTCTGTGGAGCGCCCATGGTTAGGACTTGAGGCAAATCAATTCAAAGAAAGTAAAAGTGGGTGGAATATCAATAAATTTTGTACGCACTTTAGTTTAATTTCATTCATTGATCATTGATGGTCCAATACTAAAGAGGACATAGGGCCTTTACTACAGCTAGGAAGTCTAATTTACATTGCAGAGATTGCACATTAGGACCAATCTATCATGGAACGTCCGAGCTCTATGAGAAATTTAAGTCTAGCAAGAAACAGGACACCGGAAAGCTCATTTTAATCTGCATCAAGGGTACAATTCAAATATACAAACAAGTGTGATAATTTTTATTCTCTGTAAATTTGAGATGATAACAAGATGCATCGAGATTATTTACCTGTTTCTTATTCATGCTAACAGTGTTCACTGATTCGTGCTTGTATTAATATATTTAGCCATATGTAAAAGAAATTTTGCTATGATCTGAAACCAGGCAAGGCATTTGCAGAAACAAAAAAGTACAAATGTGCCCTTGAGCAAAATTTGCTTCTACTCAACTTGCAAACCATTGTCTTAAACCGTAAGCAATATCTAGTGTGAATCCAACAAAACCTGAACATCTGTGCATTGGCTCTTTCCACTCCTGATTCTTATGTTTCTTCAGATGTACAAACGTAAAATGGTACATTTCATTCATTTACCTTGGCCGCACGAAGAACACTTCCAAGAGCCTTATTTTTCAGCTCTAATAACAACTAGAAGTTGACACGACCATCTTCCTTCTCTGTCATCCTCAGTCAGTAATTTTACTATACATAGTCTAGGTGGCTCCTTCCACCAAATCAGCTTACTAGGACTCCTCTTGCTTTGTTGCAACATCTTTGAGTTTTTCCTTTAGTTCACCAGTCTGCGGATTCAAAACCATCATATTAGAAATTCGGAATCTGGAAGGCAAACGAGCATAAAAAGCAGGGAAGTTCCAACTTAAAGAAGTAACCTGGTGCATATTGAGAACAATATCCGAACCCCCAATAAATTCTCCCTTGATGAATATTTGGGGAAAAGTTGGCCAGTTGCTGCAGAAGCGAGAGTCAAAGTCATAACTAGCCAATTTGCATAACTTATGTTCACTTGTTAAATCAATAAGGAAACATTAGTTATGATTAATTGAGACCATTTTTTACGCGGCAACCTTCTGCTGGCATATAGGGAAAATTCCTATACGAATGGTGAGAAACTAGAGATATTCAAAAATCTGAACACTGCAATAGGCCTAACTCTGGACGGTAAAAGCATAGTAAAGCCTGCAGAAAAGCACATTTTCCTATGACGGACATGAATTCATAAATCTTGCAGATGGTTAATCACACTCATCCATCCATGAAGGCGAGAGGCTGCCACAATATCAACTATACATTCCTTCAATCTGACAGATGCAATAGATATCCAGAGAAAAAAACATGCCAAGGAAGTGCGATACTTG